TTGGCTCCGGTTTCCTTGGCCTTGGTGACATCGTCCCTTAAGGATGTGCACATGAGCCCCACCCTTACTCCCGTGTCCTGGTGCTGGGAAACACTGAAACAATGCCCGCCGGTCCACCCATGAGGATGGGGTGTGTCAACCACTAAATCTAGCTCAGTGCCACGGCAGACTCGTGGTAGGTGCTCCTCGTCTCTTGCATGAATGAAGCTGAGGCGGGTTTTCCTGTCTTTCTGTCCTTCATGCCAATAATATTTTACACTGGCAAACATCAGCTGTCCCTCTCCCTGCCCATCCCCAGAGCACATAATATAATTGCTAAGGCCCCTGATGTGTCTTGGTCCTACAGTAATTCAGTGCAACGATGTACAGACCCGGCTTTTCCCCGACTGTCCCGGCTGCTGGCCCAGCAGAGCTCTGCCTCAGGGTGTGCCTGTAGCCGATGCCGGACAAGGGCCATTCTCCTGAAAACAGCCCTGAACCCAGAGCTGCCAGGAGATCCCAGAAGCAGAGCAGGGAGGCCCCAGCTGAAGTCTCTCACCCTGAGCTTCAACTTCTGAGATTTTCTCTGATGGACGAAGGAGGCCCAAGGAAGTCAAGGCAGCTCTCATCAGGTGGGAACTCATGAGAGCCAAGTCCATTGTCCTAGAGCAGTGGTTCTCAACGGTGGCTGTGCATTAGAATCACCTGGGGATCTTTTTAAAATCCTGATTTCTGGGCCTCATCCTCCGGAAATTCTGTTTCTTTGTTACTAATGTGGCCCCACCCCATAACAAAGAAACAGAATTTCCGGAGGATGGGGCCCAGAAATCAGGATTTTAAAAAGATTTCCAGGTGATTCTAATGTGCAGCCAAGGTTGAGAACCACTGTCCTAGAGGGAGACAAATGTCAAGGGGTCTGAGCTGGGGCTGCTGTGCCGTCTCCCCATCCCAACTGCATGGCCGCCCCACAGCTTGAAGGAAGGGAGGGGTGTGCGAGGCGCTGTGTTTAGAGACCCCAGACCCCTGTGTGGTTCCTCATCTCGCCAGTGGAAGCTGGCAGCCACAGAAGCTGGTTCATGGATCACACTTCAGCTTCCCTCTTTTTTCACTAGACCCCATAGGTGGAGGAAAATGGGTGACCAGGAGCCACACAATACAATGGTAAGGGACATGGGCTTTGAAGTCAGAAAATCCTGGGTCTGAGTTTAAATTCCACCTTTTTCCCAGTGTCTGGAGCAAGTCCCCTAACCTGTCCAAGCTCCATTTCTGCATCGAGAAAGCGAGGGTAGGAACAGGACCTCCCTGAGGACTGCGGAGATGCATTGAGCGGGTGTGCGCCCTAAGGGCTCCCCAAGGGCCTGCAGAGGTAAGCCTGGTAAACGTTGGTGGCCTGTGAGTCCAAGCTTGCTGGGCTCCACCTTCTCTCAACCAACTACTTTTTACACTCACTAGCCGCCCTGGGCTGCTGGCGGGAGGGGGCAGCAGAGGCCAGGCTGAGCTGCCTTCTCTGGGGTTTTCTGGGGAGCCCAGAGAACGATGGAGGAGAAAGAAACTTTAAACTTTAGCACTCACCGGGACCACTTGGGAATCTGTAAAGACTGCGGATTCCTGGGAACCCCCTCCAGAGATTCTAATCCCATGGTTCTCCAGGCCCTGCCCCAGTCCAAAATCTGCAGTTGGAGCAGACCACCCAAGTATTCCAATGAGGGTGGTTTCGGGGCTGAGCTCTGAGAACCACTGTCAGAAGTGAAGCCACGGCCCTCAGGGGCCTTCTGACCTGGAGGTTAGGAAATCCTGGGGGTGAATCCACGTCAGAGCCCCAGACTCAACTCCAAAATTCCATCTCTTGAGCCCCACAGATGTCATCCTCCTCCCTGGGGAGGGAGAGAGCGTCCAAGTGTGTCACACCAGAAGATGGGGAGTTTAATGGTTCCCAAAGTGGTTGCTGATCGGAAGTCCCTGAGCAGGAGGCCTTGCAAAATATGGGTTCTTGCACCTGGTGTGCCGCCACCGACCTGCTCACACCTACAACCACCAGATCTCTTGGGGGAGGAGGGTGAGACATGTGTGGGTCGCAGGGCCACTCCTGTTGGTGCCACCCCCTCTCCCAAAGGTCCTTGAAGACAGTATTATCAGAGATGAGAAAACTGAGGCTCAGAGGTGACTTTGATGGTTTGTTTAGGTGGCGGCAGAGCCCAGACTCTAGCTCTGCATTTCCACTACCTCTGGAGAGTGCCTGCTAGCGGGGCACTTGCAGGCGGGGAGCCAGGCTTTGGTGCCACAGTAATGCCTTCCCATTCCCAGGCCTCCAGTCCCAAAGGGAAAAGAAAACGGGGACACTGCGGGGCTCAGTGGGCCAGGCGTTTTCCCATCAGAAGTGCACACCCTGAGTGCCTTCCAGCGGTCCGTCGGGGCGCTGGCGGCCGACGTGGGCCCTGGGAGTGAGCTCAGGGCGGTGGCCTTGCCGCTGCAGTTCCCGTCCACCTACGCCCGGGGAGCTCGGAGGCCTCGCTGGGGCGTTTCTGCTGCCAGAGGGTGCATAGGGCGGGCTGCTGAAGCTCAGGTGCACCCACAGCATCGGCCCCTCCTGGAAAACCGCGAAATCTGCGGGATTTGTGATCCAGGAACGGAAACCCTGTGGCATACATCCTTGCTACTTCCCTGCCTCTGGGCCTTTTGTTACTGAGGGGTGGAATTGCATACATTGAGGGGGTGGAATTGCATACATTGAGGGGGTGTAATGGACTGCATTGTTCCAAGACAAACTTCCTAAAAGTAGCGCAAATATTTTTAATTGATCCTGTTGAGGATGTCCCTATGCTAGAAGGATTCCCACGAATGCCCACCGGGCCGGTGATTTTGCACCGGACTCAAAAGGCCTGTACACATTAAGCTTGTACCTTGCACATGACGGTCACCCTTTCATCGCAGCGCAGGACAGTGGGCGCTTCGCCCAGCAGCCCCTGGTGCAAGCCCAGGCTGAAACAGGCCTTGGGAGACACAATGCCGGTGAGTTCTGTCCCGCGCAGCAGTGGCAGCATGAAATCTCGGATGAGGGTGTGGAGGCAATTTTGCCTGCGGAATCTGGCCCTTTCAGGTTTGCCAGGGGAAGGCTGGACTTTTCTGTCGCCCCCAGACCCCAAGTCAAGCCAGAAAACAGCAGGTAGGCCCATCCCAGGGCCCCGGGAGGTGTTCCTGCACCCGGGACGGGGACGCGCTGGGAGATCCCACGGAACTGCAGGCGCCACCGGGACATGAACTGGAAGCCGCGATCCGCTGCCGCCCTGGCATCTGGCACAGCAGCGGCGCCAAAGCCACGCGCCACGGGGACGCACCTCGGCCTCTGGGGCGCCAAGGTCCAAGCGAGTGGGCGAGGGGGCTGGAGGGGCCGCAGGAGACCGGGGAGCGCGCCGGCTGGGCGGCATTGAGTTTCTCCTAATCAGCCCCACTTCCCCGAGCCTCCGAGCTAATTGGGGCGCAGTCTCCGGCGGGAGGAGGCCCGCCTTGCCTGCGGAGGTTGTCTGGGTGAGAGCGCTGGAGACCTGGGGGCTTTTCTCGGGCCCTGATTTCCGGGGCGCCCGTGGGAGGCGGGGGAAGCGGAGAGACGTCCCTTCTGGGAGAGCAGTGCCGTCTCCATCGCAGCGAACCTGCTCGCGGAGCACGAGGCCGACGCGCGCCGGGGACAGCGCGCTTCGCCCGGGAGACCCCCGCCGCCTCTTCGGCCCGCCCGAGACCCCGAGGGACACGGAGTCACCAGTCCTTTCCTGTCCCCTTTATCTCCGTTTTATAGACAGCTGTTAGGTTGGGACATTAATTGCCCGGGCGAGTTTATTGATAATTTTGATGTAACAGAGCACCGGAGAAATTACCCTCACGTCCAAAATGTCAACTTTGAGAAGAGCCAGGTTCAGAAAAACTGCGGTGGGTCTTGAACGGCCGCACCAACAATGCGACTTTAGCGTGTTTGTTTTCCCAAATAGCGGGAATGGGAATAGAAAGAGGGTGATCAGCAGAGGACACAGGCTCCTAAAAATGTTCTCTTGCCCCTGAGGATCTAGAGCAGTGGTTCTCAACCTTCCTAATGCCGCGACCCCTTAATACAGTTCCTCATGTTGTGGTGAACCCCAACCATAAAATTATTTTCGTTGCTACTTCGTAACTGTAATGTTGCTACTGTTATGAATCGTAATGTAAATATCTGATATGCAGGATGTATTTTCAGTTACAAATTGAACATAATTAAAGCATAGTGATTAAATCACAAAAACAATATGTAATTATATATGTGCTTTCCAATGGTCTTAGGCGACCCCTGTGAAAGGGTCTTTCCACCCCCAAAGGGGTCGCGACCCACAGGCTGAGAACCGCTGATCTAGAGGGAAATGCTAAGGGATTGGAAACATGCCTATCACCTTGTTCTCCCACCAATGGCGCTTTTTTGCACACATTTTACTCGATTCCTGATTTGGGAAAAACAAGTGTCGGGCACAAAAAAAAAAACACAAACCAACCAACTACAAAAACATAAAAGTTCTTTCATGATTTATAACGGCTGGGATATTGGAACAGTAAAGTCTGAAATTCAAAGTAAAACTTCCATTGGTCTTGGAATGGGAAAAAAGAAAGAATATAATTTTTATATATTTATGTATATTTTACAAATATATGGTCTTCCCTGGGAGAAGGAGGACTCTAGGTCTTCTTCAAACATTTATTTCTTTAAAAAGAGAAATGACATTTAGAGGGGCAGAGGGCTCTTCTTAAAAAACAGAAGCCAAGAAAAATAGTCACTCATGTCCAGAATTCACTTCAACGTGAAATGAAGAGTGAAAAGGAGAGGATTAGCCAAAAAATGGAAAAGAAAAAAGTATGGAGAATCACCCATATTTTAAATACAAAAAAAAGAAAGTCTAGCTATCCCAGGCCGGGTTCTGTCTGTATTTGGGGTGGAAGATATTCTGCAATCCCAATGAAATACTCATGCGATTTTATTTCTAGTTGATACAATGTTAAAGGCCATGTACAAATGTTATACATTTTTATTTTTGTTCTTTTTTTTAGGAAAAAATACACAAAAGGCAAAACATCCTCAAATTGTCATTTTATACAGTGCAGAAGGAAATTTAAAATACGTGTCACAAACGCTGCACCCCAGCAGCCAAAATACTAGAAAAAAAGGGGGTAGTCCTTCATTTTATATATATATTTATATAAAACATATGGGGATTTGTTTTTACACACATTGGACTTTGTTTCAAATTTACAATGGATATCTAAAAAAAAAATTCTACGCGGCAAATATTGCCAACAAAGTTACACCATTAATACTGATAACCGGAGGAGCCTATGCGGTGTTTCGATTACTAAGGAAAGAAAGAATAAATAACAGGATGAGCCTTGCTATCGTTTTAAAAAGTGCCTTAACCTTTCTGCATCGCCGCAATCCTGAATTCGCGCGCTGGCCGGGCCTCCCCGTCCCGCGTCGGGCCGCGTTCGTGCCGCCTTCGCACCAGTTTACAGCAGAGGTCGGGAGACAGAAAAACACCCTCCAAAAAAGTCCACGGAAAATTCGAAACAAGACCAGAAAGACTGCAGAGAGGGAAGAAGAGGAAGGCGGAGGGGGGTGGCAGAGGCCTGGAGAGCCGCCCGCTTCTGGGCTCCATTGGTTTCTTTTTTAAAAAAACAAAAACAAAACGAACAGTGGCTTCAGAAACGCAAGTCGTGCGCACAGAGATCCACCTGTGGCTGCAGGGCTTCCGAGGTGGGGAGGGAGAGCTGGCCTCTCGCCCCCGCTTCCCTGCAAACGCGGCTCTACCACGCGACGTGCGCATTCCAAGACATTCTTCCCAAAGAAAGTTAAACATAAAAACGATAAATACTCAACCCCCAAATAAAAGTATTTGATAATGATGGTCTCATGCGTTTGCCTTTCTTCTAAAAAAATCTCCCCCTTCACTTTTTCCATTAAAGGGTTAAGGGTGGGGGGAGAGACCTCAGCAGAATTTTTGTTTAGATGTTGAGGGTTTTCCCCCAACACAGCACCTTCTCAGCCGGTTTCAATCGGATCAAAAAAAAAAAAAAAAAAAAAAAGAGAGAGATTTATTTACCAACAGCTGCAGTCAGATTAGGCCTGAACGCCACCATTTTTAAAATATTTTGAGGGAATAGGAGAGGAGGTGCCAAGCTCTGTGCCGCTTCTTTGCCCTGGGGGTTCCTTTTGAAATAATCCGGTTGGGGAGGGGTCAAACCCTTTTCTTCTGCCGACGGTTATACCTCGAGAATAAAGCAGTTTCTAGGGGTGGGTTCCCAGGTCCCTGTTCCGACGGCCGTGCCAGGGACCCGCGGGCTTCCCGGCTCACATCACACAGGGCTTGATGTCTTGGTAGGTGACCTGCTGGTGGTAGTAGGAGCCACCGCCGGCGGAGTGCATGGAGGAGGACGCCATGGTGTTGAAAGAGAAGACAAACTCTTTTCGGTCACACATGCTGGGTGACTGCGAGTGATACCGAGGGATGCCTGTGAGGGAGGTGACAAGGGGCGAGAGTTTAAGATGGACAAGCAGCTCTGCCCGAGGCGCTCTGGGCGCAGGGCCCCATCCTCCCCACTCTCCACCCCCTCCCCAGAGTCCCCGAGTTCCCAGCCCTGACTGGGCCCTGGGCTTGTGCGCCCCAGGGGAAGAGCCTGGAACACCCGGAGACATCCCTGCTCCCGGGAGCACCCCTGCCCGGGCCTGCACCCGCTTTGGACACAGAGCGTGGGCTGGGGGGCTTCCGATGCCTAAAAGGAAGGGGTGGGGTGGGGGCCCAGATGGGTCTGCAGACGCCGCCATGGAGGGCCCAGCGGCCTCCACCTCTCGGGCGGCCTGGCGCCAGGGCAGCCACTTCCCAAGCCCGAAGGCTGTGGAGGCCTCCGTGCAGCCAGAGGCAGGCACTGGGAGCAGGAAGCACAGGCCGTCACAGGGGCGAAGGGCGGCTTCTCCGAGGAAGCCCCCCTTGGAGAACCGGGCCATCAGGGCAGCAAGAGCCCAGGAGTTTGAAGCAGCCCAAGCAGGGCAACCCCAGATCCCTCCAGAGAAGTGGCCTTTCAGCCACCGGCCAGGCTCCTGCCTCCCACCCGCTGCTGACAGCTGACCCCTGAGAGGCCCCTGCTAAGCTCCCTCCAAGCTCTTGCCAGAACGAGGCGGGAGTTCAGGAGGGGAGCTTTTTCTCATCTTCCCCCTGAGGGCTGGGGAGAGGGCACCCGAGGACCCGAAAACCTGGGTCCTGAGAAACAAAGGGCCTGCGGAGCCTGCAGCTCTGACCCTCGCTCTGGGCCTGGCACAGACCTCTCTGCCTCTGTCCCCACGAATGCCCCTGGCTCAACAGTCACCAGGCCAGGCCTGGTTCTCTGAAAGGCCGGCGCTGAGCTCCTGCGCAGCAGGCCCAGGCGGCGTTGGGCCTAACTCTCCCGTTCTGCCAGGGCAAGGAGCAGAGGCCGCTCTCCGCTTCCTGAGGGACCACCCTGGAGGGTGGGCCAACTGGCCAGCCGGGCCCCATCTCCATCCTGGGAGCTTGCTGAGGGGTGAGGGGACCTAAGGGACCAGGAGCAACTTAGACTGTTTGGATCTGAGCCTTTTTGGTGGGACCTGGCCATGCTCCCGAAGGCCAGCAGCCTAGAGTTGGGAAAAGAAAAAGAGACACGACATGTTGACCCAAGTCAGAACCCAAGTGGCATTCACCCCTCAAACGGAGAGAGGTGGGCCCTAGGGACAGCGCAGTGTGGGGCTGGCACCCAACGGAAGTGGCTGCAGGCTCAACCAAGGGCCGGCAGCAAACTGGGGCGCTGGGTCCGCGCAGTGCACTCACAGATGTCCGGGCCGCCCAGACTCCCCACTCACCTTGCAGCTCAGCTGGGGCGTTGTGACTGTTCTGGTGCAGATAGGGCTGGTCCAGGGAGTGTGTGGAGAGGCTGCCGGACAGGGGGTTAGCCGCGGGGTTGCAGGGGGACAGGGGCTGCTGCTTGATGTAGGAGGCGCCGCTGTTGAGCGCGGCCGAGGCCGAGGGCGGCCAAGCGGCCGCGGAGCCCGAGTAGACAGCATGAGGCTCCATGACCCCGCCGCCGGCGGGCAGCAGCGGGGAGGCGGGCACCGAGCTGTCGTGGTGAGGGTACTCGCCGGCCGCCCCGCCACCACAGCTGCCCATGTACGAGTGGCCGCCGTTGGCGGGCAGGTGGGGCACCGAGTGGCTGGGCAAAGCCATGCCGTCCACATTGCCCGGCAAGTGACCATTCATCATGCCCAGGCCGCCCTCGAGCGCCAAGCTGTTGGGCGGACACGAGAGGCCGCCAGCCGAGCTCTGGAAGCCGTAGGTGTCCGGGAGGTGGTTGAAGCCCAGCCCGTTCATCATGCTGTACATGGGCTTGAGCGCCTGGCATTTCCTTCGGAAGCCGCGGGGCCGCCGCCGAAAGGAGCCCTCCTCGAACATGAACTCGCTGGCCGGGTCGATGGTCCAGTAGTGGCCCTTGCCCGGCCGCCCCAGGCCCTTGGGCAGCTTGATGAAGCACTCGTTGAGCGAGAGGTTGTGGCGCACCGAGTTCTTCCAGCCCTGGTAGGAGCCGCGGAAGAAGGGGAAGCGGCTCTGCAGGAACTGGTAGATCTCGCTGAGCGTCAGGCGCTTGGTGGGCGAGCTCTGGATGGCCATGACGATGAGCGCGATGTACGAGTAGGGCGGCTTCTCCGGGCGCCGGATGCCGGCGTTCGTCTTCTTGGCCTTGGACGGGCCGGACGACGCGGGGTCCATGGCCGCGCCGCCTCCCCCGCCGCCGCCAACGCCGCCGCCGTGCGGTGGCTGCTGTTTCTCGGGCGCCGAAGACATCGGGTGGCTGCTGCCGCCGCCGCTGCCGCCGCTACTCTGCGCCGCCGACGAGCCGGGAGGAGGAGGAGGAGGAGGAAGAGGAGGAGGAGGGGGGGGAGGGCGAGGGGGAGGGGGCTGCGCACGCGGGGCTGGCTGCACCTCTGCCGTCATCGGCGGCCACTTCTCCCGAGCGAGCCGCGGCGCGCCCTCCCCCGCCCGCCCGTCCTCCCCGAGGAGCTGCTGGATCGGCCGGCGGTTGGCGCAGAACCCCCTCTCTCTCCAGCTCCCTCCGCCCCCACCTCTATCTCCTCCCTCTTTCCCTCTCGCCCTCCCACAAGGGAAGGAGCCGAACAGAGGCTGAGGGCAGCCTCTTGGCAGCAAGGGCGGAGGCTGCGGGATCCCCCCCGCCCCTCAACACACACACACACACCGGTTTTTTAGGGGTGGCACCGACTCCGGGGCCTGCGGCCGTGCGCCCCCGCGGGGAGCCGCGCTTGGTCCCCACCGCCCGCAGCGCTCGGCTCCACGGCTCCAGCGGAGGCCGTCCTCACGGGACCTCCTCGCGGCAGCGTCTCCGGGCCGGTGTAAGACCCTGCGGGAGTTTCCTCCCACCCTGCCCCCTCCGGCCCCCACGTTGGTGGGCGCTTAAAGGGCCCCCACCCTCGCCGCCCAGCGGCCGCCGGCGGAACCCGCCCCGCCTCCACCAACCTGGCGAGCGAGTGTTAATGCGCTCTCCGCCCGCGGTTCAGCCCCGCCGCGCGCTGGCCCCCCGCCTTCCCTGCCCGGGCGGCGCCTAGGGAAACGCACCCCGGGTCCTGGGCCTTCCCCGTCAGGTACCGACCAGTGGCAAATCGCAACTGCGGCGGCGGCAGCGGCTTCCAGATCGTGGCCATCACGGCACAGTCGGCTCGGCGGTCCCCGGGGCCAGCGGGCGTAGGTTCCCGCGAGGGACCGCCTCCCCACTCTCCCCGCCCCGGGAAGGACTGCGCTGCGCCCGGGACTTTTCGGACTCTCCCGGCAGCGAACGAGCGGGCGGGCAACGGCTGGGCCGAGCAAGGGCGGAAAACGAAAGTGCGGGCGGGTGGCTCGCTGCTGCTTTTGTCTCTGGCTCTGCGAGGCCGGGCAGGGGCGAGTGAAGAAGGCTGGTCTTGGGGGACCAAAGTCGCACAGGCTCCCAGAACAGCGACCCGGCTCGATCACTCACTCATGCTCACGTATGCATGCATCGATGCACATGCAAACTCGGTAAATGACTAGGCTCAGATGTGTAAACTCTCTTCTCTCCCATTCGTGCGTTTCCACTCGCGCACTCCGCGCTTCGGCTTGTGCGCGCCCACTAATGCGCTCGCTCGCGTACACGCCATAGGCCCATAGGAACTTAAATTTCATCAGCTCCCACTCAAATGTACGTTAGCCACGCTCGGATCTGAACCCACACGTAGCCCAGTTGACTCCCCCCCCCCCACCCCACCCCACCCCCACACTGAAAACCTTCCTATTATTTGGCCCCGCAGCCCTGATGTCCCCACTTTCCAAGAGCAGGTTCCGATTCCTCATGGATGGTAAAGGCCCTGGCAGGAAGTTTATGTGGTTCAATGTAAACATGTTCTGAGGGATTCTTTAATAATAATAATAGAGAATTCCGAGTGCGCGGGCGGGGCGGGGGGAGTTGGCCTAATGCCCCTGTGGGCCGGCCTGCCGCCGCGACAGGGCCTCTGACACTGCGCGCCCGGCCAGGTTCCGGAAAGCTGTCTGCGCGGGCAGGGAGCGCAGGCTCAGGCGGCCCAGAAGCAGTAGGCTGCCCGCAGCTGGGGTCTCGCACGCACCCCCCCCCCCCTCTCCCCCGATCCCACCTCCTAGCACCAGGGTGTGGGCTAGGACTGGCGTGGCGGGGCGGTGGCGCCGAGTGCAGTTCCGCGCAGGAGCCGGGCGCAACGCGGCACACAGGGACCCAGGTGAGTGCTGCTGGAGCGCAGACTGTGGGGCACCAGGCTCGGCCTCTCCCGCTAGGGCCTTGGGTCGGGTGGAGGGAGACCGGGGGTGTTTTTGAGGTTCATCGCGAAGAGCCTAGATGCCGTTCCCTGGTTCGAACTGGGGTGAGAGGCTTGCGCCGGGCTCAGAGAGCGGCCGCGGCGCTTTTCAAAGCCCACCGACCTCTCGCGTTTCTCTGGCCTCCTTGTCTCCGGCTGACGCCCCTCCTCGTTCGCTTGGCGGTAGACGCCTCGTCGCCTTCGGGGCGCCTGGCACGTCCTTGAGAGGAGCTGGGGGGCGCGCTGGCGTTGTCTGGCTAATAATCGCCGCCTGATCCGGCGGAGCCGCGCTCTTGGAGACCGGAGAGCCACCGTCCCTGCCCTGCGCTTCCTCCTGGCTCTCTCGGACTCGGGTCCGTGCAGGCAGCCAGCCTCGCTGGCCTGTGGAAGGGATGAGTGTAGGACTTGATTGCGTTGTGTGTCCCGGTATTTTCGCACAGGTAGACCCGCAATGGCAGACCCACCTCCACTTCTCTGGGCCCAGACAGCACCCACAGACCACAGACATCCTCAACACCTTGCCTGCCTCCAACACACCTCCCCCCGCCCCCCCAGCGAACACCCCGCACACAGCTCAGGGGCCCCCACCCTCACAGACGCCCAGGCCTGTCCACCGCTGAGGACACGCTTTCGGTGAAACGCACGCTCGCCAGCACTGCACGTCCTCCCGCACACAGTCAGCCGCCTTTGCCCACGCAATCGCGCGCACACATCCACGGTCACCCGGCCCTCGCACCTTCTCTCCCTTCATCACTTTTTTTCCCCCTCTGTCAAACTGAAGCTGCAGGCAAGGAGGCCCAGGCGGCGGCGGGAGGGAAGCTGGAGAAGGGGTCCTAGCACCAGCTGCTGGGAGTACATCTGGCCTTTGGAGGAGAAGCCAGCGAGCCGGGAGGCTGCTGCTAGAAAGCCACCGAGGGCTGTAGCACTCCCCATGGCTCCCAAATGCGATAGGAACGCCTTCCTTTCTCTCGCTCCTCCTCCACTGACCCGGAGCCTCCAAAGTGAGGGGCTCTTCTTCCAGGAGCCCCCTTTCCTTGGAAGCCCTCTCCCGGTGGGAGGGGATGCAGAGTTCATTTTAGCTAACCCCCCAGAGCAGGCTTCCTCTCTCCTGCACAGCCTCTCTCTCACCAGCTCTGATTGGGGGCCCCTAAGTGTTTTGGGGTGGGGGAGTTTATGCCTTCATGGGCAAGAAGTATGAAGTCAGACCCCACCTGGCCTCCACTTAGCCCGCAGGTTCTGACAGCAAACCAGGCTCTGCAGAGGAAGGACAGCAGTTACTACGCCCACGGAGAGGGGCCCCAGTGGTTTTGGAGCCTCAGAAATGTAGCAGATGGAGGTTCTCCCCATCCTCTCATCTGCACCCAGGCAGGACATGAAGGTGGGGGCATGAGAAGGAAGGGAGGAGGAATGAGCTCCTGGATCTGTCATTTGGGGGGAACCCCCCTCAAATCTGGGAAAAACCACAGCCAACACCAGGAGGGCTTTTCCACATGCCAGGAACCAAGCTCTTATCTCCTATAATGCCCCTGAGAAGTCCCACCTCACCTTGCAGTTTTAGGGCGGGGAAGCTGAGGCCCAGGGAGGACCTGGCCTGGGTCAGCCAGTGCTGACAAGCAAACATCTCTTGATCTTTCCTCTCCACCCCAAGAACAGACTGTCATTGCCGTTTACCCTCCTGGGTGCCTCTCTGCAGGCCGCAGCTGCCCAGAGTGGGATTTAGACATGCTCTACCTCTGGGCATGCCTGGCTTCCTAGGCCCAAGGGCCCCAGAGACCTGTTGAGAATTAATGGTGATGAAAATAACAACAACCACAAGCAATGTCAGCAGGGCTTCTCAACTGCCCATCATGCCCAAGTACTGATCATCACCTTATTAACACCCCCTTGGGTGTTCTCTGGGTTGTGAATCCCTTTGTCCAACTGTTGAAAATTCCACCCCCCCCCACACACACAGAAGGCGCATAAATTTGTGGAATAATTTTCAAGGTTTTACCAAACACTTTGAACCCATGGGTGGGAGCCCAGCCACAAACCCGCCACCTCCTATTCACAAACCCAGGACCCTGGTTAAAGGCCCCAAAGATACTTGTTTAATCTCCACAGAAGTCCCACCTTTTACAGATGGGGCTCAGCAAGGCTACCCTCCTAGGTCACCCTGGGTTCAGTTGGTGCCATAGGGTGAGGGTCAGCAGCGGTCAGGGCGAAGACCCTTTGCCTGCAGATTCGAAATCATGGTCAGGATTTGAATCCAGCCTCCACCGTGTAGGGATGTTGCATGAGCTGTTTGTGCCTTCATTTCACTTGGGGGGCGGTGGGGGAGAAGGGGTTGTTATTGGTTTATTTTTGCCCCAGCCTTTTTATTGATATAGAAATCAAACATAACCTTGTTAAGTTTAGGATGTGCTGGTTTAGCCTATTTATATGTTGCGAAATGAGTACCACAATAAAGTTAGCTGCCACGTCCACTCCTTCCACGTAGTTAATGTGTGTGTGTGTGGTGATTGCATTTAGGAACTACTCCGTTAGCAACATTCAAGGATATGCTACAGGATTATTAGACACAATCACCGGGCTGTAACAGTTTCTTCATCTAAAAAATGGGAGGAATAATTGCACCTTTTCCTTAGGGCTGTTGGGAGCATTGGACAAGACTATGCAGAGACAGACTTAGGCTATCCAGACAGACAAACAAACAAACAAAATCGGCTTGAGGGGCAGTCAGAGAAAATGCAGACTGGGATGTGGCAGCTTTTTGCTCTTAGCTTGAAGAGCCATAAAAGACCCCCCTCCCGTACCAAATCAAATGTGCGCCCCAGCGCCAGCCCCAGGAATCCCAAGATGGGGGCGGGGGTGTAAAAACAGACACGCCTGCCATGTCTCCCACTCCCCAAACCCAAGGTATTTTTACTGGCTAATTGCTTAAGTGAAGCCGCCCGGGCGGAGAGCGCGCAGTAACCCGAGCAGGGAACCAGATCCTGCTCCGATTGTGCCCGGGCTGGCCTCAGGGGCGGGGGCGGGGGCAGCCGCCGACCACCCACCGCGAGGGCAGCCGCCTCGCCCGCTGCGCCCCTGCTCTGCATTAGCGCCTGGCCAGCACCCCCCTGCCCTGCTCCCTCCAATCCCTTCCAGAGGACGTCCAAAGGCGACCCAAGGTAGTGTGGGCTGGTCCCCAAGCCCTGGCAGGTACTGGGCAGCGAGGGAAGCCGGCTGGCCAGGGGATATCGGTCGGGAGGCTGGAGGGACGGGAGGGGACATTTATGGGTGAAAATGCAACCCGCAGACAAGGGGCTTTGGGGAGAAACGTCAAGGTCAGGAGGCAAGAGGGTATTCTTCCTCCCTCAATCATAACATGATCTGTGCACAGAATATCTGGGCTATTTCTCTGCAAACTGGGGATATGCACACGCATCACGCATGCCAATCTGTAGAGGGGAAGAACGGTGGGTCTGGGCCGTGTCTGGCAGGCACGACAGTGTCAGGTGGGTGCCGGGGTGAGGGTTGTGCACAGAATAGCTGAGATGTACAAATATGACTCGTTTGCTGCGCTGAACACTAGAGGATGTAAGTACAGTATGGTGTCTTCACGTGCAATTAATATTTTAAGAGGTGAACAAGATAGCACTGTATGTGTGCAGAACATTCGCATGTAATATGAGGTGGCCCGTGCACAGATCATTGCAGAGTAAGTTTAGTATAGCAAGGTATGTGCATGGAATGGTTTGAAGGTGCGTACAACATAATGTGTTCCAGACACAGAATATCGTGGGCTCTGAAGAGAAGATAATATGGAATTAGACAGACGGTTGTAGATTGTGTGTATGATGTAAAGGGGTATATTATAAATGATATATTGGATTCACATGAATATCGTAAAATGTGTACAATTCGATGCCCGTGGGCACAGAACATCATGGGAAATGTGTTGACAGTGCGTCTGGGTCCAGCCGGTCTGTCGGAGGAGAGGGGTCTACCCTGGGGAGCTCAGTCCCCCAGGCTCCAGGCAGCGTGTTTGCAGCAGAGGATGGCTGCGCCAGCGAAGGCAGTCAGGAGGTGTGCGTGCAATCTAACCTGCAATAATAACAATGCAGAGCCCACGCAGCTCACGGTGGTTGAAGCCTGACTGGGTGCTCCTCTGAGGCCCCTCAAGGTAATTGCTGGCTCATGCAGCCCTGACCATACCGCGTAAGGCAGGCTCCAGAGAGGCCAAGGTCCCAGG